AGGTTCTGGGGCATTTGGAAATTAATTTGGGCCAATTCCAAGAGTTAGCCCAATTTTAAAAAGATAAAACCAACTACAATCCTCCCACTTTCTTTTCCTTTGCTCTTTTATATTATTTTTAAAAAAAAAATTTAATTAATAAAATCCTAGAATTAAAATCCTAAATTATCTAAATTGCAAAATTGAACTAATCATAATAAAAATTATGGGAAAATTTCACATAAGAACAACTAGGCTCCTTACTTTTCAATTTTATAGCCCATATTTCAATTTACAACCAACTAACCCAAAATAATAGACTAATATTCAACATTCAACTCCAATAGGTTCTCGAAATTACTATTTAATTTTTAAAAAAGATTGCTCAAGCTTTTAAGTTAACTTTCGAATCAATAACTGTGACTCAAATATTAGTTCAACAAACCAAATCCACTTGGGTAGTGAAAATTAGATTTTTAACAAGCTTAAATATGTGGGTTCAAAATTCCAAATTTGATTTCCTGAGAATTTTGGAGTGGGTATCATTTAAACTTGTTAGAAATAGTATAAGGGGGTTGTATATAAGATTTGAAGTCATTTAATGGAGATTTGGACTAGTTTTGAACAAGAATTGCAACTGAAAATCGTGGAAGAAGTTCGTCTACATACGCTTGTATAAATGTGTATAAAAGTGTATAATAATGTATAAGATGTGTTTATACACTATTATACAAGATTATACAAAAAAACTGACTTCGTCTTCTTCCTTGCGTCTTTTCTGAAATTTAACTCAAATCTTGCTCAAATCTACTCCAAATCACTTCAAATTTAAATCTTGAACTACTTTTGATATATGCAATCAATTGGAACAACACCCAATCCAAACAACTAACAAACTCAAAAAATCATATTTTCGAAAGCAAAATTTTGAATGGCCTTCAATGGTGGACTTGTACTTTTCAATTTTCTTACATTGCAACCAGGTGACACATGGGGAGAAGCAGAAAATACACGGCCCTTGAAGCATATGTAGAAGATGTGAGAAGAAGAGAGAGTGAAAGAAATTGTTGTAAGAATACATATTTAACTCCATAGCTTTTAGAGGCAATCGTTATAAGAACACAGATTTTGAATTTACTAGTGCTTTCAAATTATATACAATATGGGCTATGTAGGGTAAAACTTAAAAACATGGGCCATTTTTTGTTATGATATGAAGTCATGTGTATTTTCTTGTAATTCTTTCAAAAATTATTTAGTCCTAACTTGAAAAGAAAAAATTAATAAGCTAAAAATTAAAAGGTGTAAATGATCTATTTTTTGTTATTTTTATTTTTTAATAAAGAAATAGTTACTAATTAATTCCAAAAATGTAAAACCAAACCTAAATGCAATGCATGGTATTTTTTTGTATTTTTTCATGATTTTTAATGGAAATTAAATGTGCACAAAATGCAAACAATTAACAAAATTCTACAAAAAAATCTATAAAAATTGCAAATTATGGGGAAAGTTTGTTTTCTTGAATTTATGGGAGCAATTCACATAGGGCAAAAATCACGTGCTCACAATATTATGATCCGTGATTTACTCATCGCGATTGCGGAACATCACTTGCGATAGCGGAAACAAAAATGATGACATCTGACCAAACCCCCTAAGTGAACACATAAACGAAGTCGCGAACGTGACACACAGCTTCCAACTCGCTACGCGAACGTGATTGTATTCACGCGATCGCGGACAACAAAGGCATGTGGCCTTCCAGCTTCCCTTATAAGCTATCGCGTAACTAAGAACGCGAACACGATATCATAAATCCTTCAATCTTCGCGAACACGGTCGCCTCTTCGCGACCTCAAAGAACAAAGTATATGAGGCCACCATAACACTACGGGAACACGGAAGTAAAGGCGGAACGCGATGAAGAACACCAGGTGACAGAAACTAGCAGTTCAAAATAGAAGGAAATGGCTTGTAGCCCACCCGGAACACACTCGAGGCCTCCAAGACCCGTCGAAACATGCCAACAAGTTCCAAAACATAATACGGACCTACTCGAGGTCTCGAATCATATCAAACAACGACGAAACTACGAATCACACTCCAAATCGAACTTAATGGACTTATGAACTTTCAACTTCTAAAAGTCGTGTCGGAACATATCAAATCAACCCGGAATGACGTCGAATTTCGCAAGCAAGTTCCAAATGGCACAACCATAGCTACACCAGCTCCCGAAATCGAATTCCGAACCCGATATCAACAAAGTCAACTCCCAGTCAAACCTCTCAACCTTCCAAACCTCCAACTTTCTAATTTTCGCCAAAATGTACCGAAACCTTCAAGAAATATCCAAATGCGAATCCGGGCATACGCCCAAGTCCAAAATCACCATCCGGTCCTAACGGAATCATAAAAACTTCGATCTGGGGGCAAACACATAAAAGTCAAACTTAGTCAACTCTTCCAACTTAAAGCTTCGTAGTTGAGAATCATTCTTCCAAATAAATTCTGAATAACCCGAAAACCAACACGCAAGTCATAATACATCATACGATACTGCTCAAGACTTCAAATAGCTAAACGGAATGTAATTTCTCAAAACGAGCGGTTGGGTCGTTACATCATGTTGGTGTTATAAGCAAAATAAACAAATTAACAAGCTGTCAACAGACACTATATTTTGGCCAGAAAATTTTGCACCTGTTTAGTACTAATTTGACTTTCAATTAACATACATCCATGAATATTGTAGCGAGATTAATTCCTCAGCTATAGTAGCCAAGGAAGATAAATCAACTGTGTCAAATGAAAATTACTTTATTAAAATTTGAATGATTAGTAAAAATATTCGTTGAGATTTATGTCCGAAATGCATCACCATCTCTCTCTTTAGTCGCCTCTGTGCAATCATAGTTGGACCAACTTAACATAAATTGAAAAAAAAAATAACCGTAAACTATTGAGACATAGATTAAACAAAGAAGGAGAAATGGAAAGGATTCCTGGCTGATCGGCTAGATGATGATGATATCAAATTTTCTGGAATCAATTGATTAATTGTAAGACAGAATTTTAAAAAGGGTTGTTGCCCTAATATAATAAGGATATATTGTATAGAAACGTAAGTACTCCTCCCACGTGCCCCAGCAACTTTGGCTCGAGCTTGTAATATGGTTTGCTTAGTCTTGGCTTGCGTTGTCCATACATGCACACGCTATTTCATACGAGTTTTAACTCTTTATTCACTGATAATCAAAATTTTGTTTAACTTTATTACGTAATTTAATACTACAGTCAAACTTCTCTATAACAGCATCGCTATAGTACAATCATTCACTATAAAAGTCAAGTTTTTATGAAACTAATTTTCATGTTCTGTTATAATATATGTTCTCTATAACATCACGTCGCTATAACAACCAAAACGAATCGTAACAAATAAGGTTGTTATAGAGATGTTTAACCCTAGTTAAGTATATACATTAATACTTCTTCGCAACTACTTTCTCTCCGTCATCAATTTTTCGCGCTCTTATACTCATACAAACTGTTGAGGGATTACTAAATTCTGTAGGAGGAAGAGTTGCCTTATTCTTTTTCACATTAATTTCAACTCACATAATTTTAAAGTAGGATGAGACTTTATTTTTTATTTTATTTTTAACAAATACTACACTTGAGTTTAGCCAATAAGGCAGAGAAAGGTATGGATGAGATCTACACCTTGGCTTTCGATAAGCATTCACCAGTGTTATAGGGCTGGCCCATGGAAAACANATATATATATTTATGTATATCGACTAAAAAAATTAAATATTGAATCTTGCCGACTATTTGTATAACAAACTATTACATCTTAGTTTAATTTACATGACATCCTTTTTGTTTTCAGATGTCCAGAAATGACATCGTTTTCTTGAGATGTCCAAAAATATTTGACATCGTTTAACTAATAATATATTTTTCTATTTCTTTTTTAAGTTTGTAGAACCCGACTATATTTACTTTATTAGCTGTAATTAATTAAGCGCTTTGTATTCCCTAATTTCTTATTAACTTTATAATAACTAGTACATATATCCATTCTTTCTTTCACAACTACTTACATGAGATCCAGGTTCAAATAATATCTTAAAAAAAGTTACATAAAGTTATTCCTTTAGTTTATTGTTGATTACATAAGAAAAGTTATACCAAACGCACCAAATTAAACTGCACCAAGTATAGTGCATAACTTTACTAATTTTTTTCAGCCCTGATTAAACTAATATTAAGTGTGTTTTTTTTTAATCTAATTAATGCCAAACTATCCAGTGAGAGGTTGGCCTTGAGAGGTGAGAGGAGGAGTAGAGGTAGGCCAAAGAAGTCTTGGAGAGAGGTGATAAGGCGGGACATGGCGCAGCTTGAGCTGACCGAGGACACGACCCTACATAGAAGGGTGTGGAAATTGAAGATTAGGGTAGAAGGTTAGTAGGTAGTCATGCGTTTCCCTTTGTCTTCTCTAGTTTAATATTATTAGTGCTAGTACGGTACCCCTTTTTTTCCTTAGTTTGCTATATTCGCATGTCTTGTTCCGTTATTACTTGTCATCGGTAATTCCGTAACTTGCTAGTTCATATTCTCGTTTGCTGCCTTGAATTTAGTTTTTTAAATATATTATCTTGCTATTACTTGTTGTCGGTACCCTTTTCATATTTTCTGTTGCTATTTTCGATTTAGTTTTCTAATTATTTGTCTTGCTATTACTTGTTATCATGGCTTCCTTCACCTTTTTTACCCGAGGGTTTATCGGAAACAGTCTCTTTGTTCTTCCAGGGTAGGGGTAAGGCTGCTTACATCCTACCCTTCCCAGACCCCACTTGTGAGATTATACTGGGTGATTATTGTTGTTGTTGTAACATATTAATTAAAATCAACAAAAAACATATGAAGGGTTACAGCAGTTTGTATAAATACGGAAGATAGTCACTCCCCAATTTCATAGGAAAGTAATATTATTTGTCCTTCAACAAAATGCTAGCTTTTTCCTCTTCTATTTTTCCAAACATGAGTAGTGAATGGTCCTTTGAAGAAGCACAAAACTATGATCAGCAGAATAATAATATTCTACAAAATGAGATTACTAACGACTTGTTTGAAGGTTTACCTATTGATCATAATTCTCCTTCATCTTATCAGCAACAATATTCCAAAGAAAAAAGCTTTGATAATTCATTAATGGCGAAGAAGCTAAGCCATAACGCAAGCGAACGTAATCGACGGAAGAAGATGAATTTCCTTTATTCCACTCTTCGTTCTCTGATTCCTCCTGCTAATCTAAAAAAGGTACAATTCCTATATAAGAATTTTGTCTTGTAATACAAAATTCCCTCTTCGATACATCAAAATTAAGTGTATATTTATCTCTTGTACGTTATACGTAAGAAAATAATTTGGTTTACATACTAATTGCTATTTATGTGTCTCTTTATATCAGAGGTTTAAGTTATATACACATATATTCTTAGCATATTAATTGCTATTTCTATTACATTACTAATTAGTAATACTTTTTGAAGAGATTTAATTACTTTTGTGATGATCTTAAACGTTTTTTGTCAGTCGGGACTCAAAGGACAAGTTTAATTAATTAGAGAGCTAGATACCTAATTAGGAGATTGCAAAGAAGATATATAACAATGATTCACATCACCTAAACTTTGGTTTTGTAATTCATAAATCTATTTTAATTAAGTTGTTTAACCTATATATGTCTCTTTAATTACAGAAAAAGCTAAGCTTTCCAGCAACAGTATCTTATGTGCAACAATACATACCAGAGCTGAAGAAGGAAATTGAGAGGCTAAGTCAAACAAAGGATTTGCTTTTATCAAACAAAGCTGGTTCATCAGTCCAGTCTAATAATATTAATCAGAGAAATACAACTTCTTCTGCATCTATTTCTGCAAGTCCACTATGTAATGGGCAGGTTTTGGTACAGATTTCTACAACTCTGACAAGTTTTCCAATTTCACAAGTATTCCAAACTTTAGAGGAAGATGGGATTCTTTTGCTAAATGCAACGTCCTTTAAATCTTCTGGTGAAAAGATTTTTCACAACTTGCACTTTCAGGTACAATTGGTATTTTCTTTATTTGAAAAAAAGTTCTCTAAAACCAAATTGGAGTTGGGGTTAATTTCACTAGGGTCATCACTGAAATTTATCCATTATATGTAAAAGTAAAGTCACAATTTTTTTTTTTTTTTTTGTAACATTAAAATAAGGGGAATTAGTCTCTTATCGACCATTATGATTTATGGTTAAGCACATATATATAACCTTTAATTAATTATTATGTGCACTTTTGATCCCTCTGACAGTGAACCTAGTGCTTAGCCATTCAATTATCAATGCGTTGTTAAGTTTGTGTAGTTACTCCATATTTGACGGTAATATAATTTTAAAAATAGTCTAAATATCACATATTTTCTACACGAAGGGACAAAAAACATACATACTAATTAATTGAAGATTAAATGTGCTTAGCCAAATATTACAAGGATCAAATCCAGAATTTATCAATAAATGAGGGATCAACAGTGCAATTAATTGTTCCCTAAAATAATAAGTGGTAATCATTTTTAGTTACTAAAAAGTATAATTTTTTTGTAGTAGCTAATGTAAGCTACCAAAGTAAGATGTCTATATATGCATTTAAAATGGGTGGTTGTTTTTTAAGAGAAACAACTTAATTTCTTAAAAGCTTTAATTTATGTGACTAAAAAAGAAAATATTGACATTTTTCTAATTGATTTTTTTTTTAATATTCCAGATGCAAGGGACAGTTGGAATGGAGATTCAGAGTCTGAAGACAAAACTTTTAGTAATGTATGAAGAAAATCAAAATCGTATTTTAACTTGAATTTTCAGTTCTACTAAATAATTGTCAACTGCGCATTGATGATAAATAAAAATTGTGCGTAGTTTCGTTTATTGATTTAGAATCTAAATAAGTCCCTATTAAAACATCTTAAATACTACATGAAGCCATTTGAAAAGAAGAATAAGAATACTTTAAAACAAAAAAATGTTAGAGACACTCCTTCCCATGCTTATTCATATTACACTCGACTAATTTAGCTTCGGGAATCCAAAGTTTCATTTTCTTATATCATGGGTTGAATTTTCAAACCCAACTTATTTATTAAACTTATGATGATATCACATCACTAAAACTTAAATCACAAATCCAAGGCTTAGAAGTTACCATTCTGCATCACAAAATCAATGTTGGCTAGTCGAATTTTTCTCCAGTTGCTATTGTTTACCCGAAAAACGGTATAATTAAATTTATACGTGGTTTACAAGCAAGTGAATCGGTTTGATCCTAAAATGATAAATAAATTAGACAAAAATATAAGACTTAGCCTTGAAATTGAGATAAAACAACAGATATCTTGGTTCTGAGAGCAGAGCTTCGGGAGGCAATAAGAACAATGTAAATAGATAAGAAAGTAAAAGGTTATTAAACTTTTGATAGAATATAGTGTATGTATTTTAGAAAATTCGTCCTTCTACAATGATGGTAGAGCTCACTATTTATAGTTGCACATAGGGAACAAGGTCCTATGATCAAGCCCATTTTAAATGACAATTATGAGGGTCATTGAAGAATGTGTAACGGTAGACAGTGAGTGACATATTCTCTTTAACGGACCGTGCACTTTGTCACACCTCCTTTTTCACACCTACACCCCGTAAAGGNCCCCGCAAGGACGTAAAGGAGTTTGTCCAATTAAAGGACAATCGGAACGGGATTTAATTATTAATATTCAGAGTCGCCACTTGAGAGATTAATGGTGTCCCAAGTCACCGGTTGAATCCCGAACCGAGGAAATTTATGACTCCGTTAACAGTCCGCGAACCAGAAATTCGACTAAGGAATTCTGTTAACCCGGGAGAAGGTGTTAGGCATTCCCAGGTTCCGTGGTTCTAGCACGGTCGCTTAACTGTTGTATTTGATTTTATCTGATTTTAATATATGCTAGCTTATGTTCCTTTTATTTAATTTTGAACCGCTTTTATTATAATTATTTTTTAAAAGAATTGCGACGTCGTGAAAACGCGTTTCGAACCACGTCGCAATCAATGCACCCGTGGTTATCAACACATTTCGACTTCGTCGAGATTTGGATTTGAGTCGCATCAATGCGCACCCGAGTTTAAGAAGGTCATTTAATTAAAATCGCGCCTAAAGATTCTAACGTAATATTATTTTGGGGAAAAGCCGTGAAGTTCGCTAAATGGCCCTCCCAAATTCTAATCATTTTTAATAACCATTTATTGAGGGCCCCACATTTATTTATTTTCGTTCGGTGGAGCTCATCTCAATTTGTGAACCTCTTTTCTATCATTATTTATTTTATAAGAATTACGATGTCGTGAAAATGCGTTTTGAACCCCGTCGCAATCAATGCGCCCGTGATTGTCAGCACATTTCGACTTCATCGAGATTTGGATTTGGGTCGCATCAATGCGCACCCGAGTTTAGGAAGGTAATTCTATTAAGAGCGCGTTTAAAGCAACTACGCATTTGCACTTTGCGAGGACCGTGAATAATTCGCTAAATGGCACATTTCGATTCCAATTTTAAGAAAAAAAAAAAAATTGTATATACACTTTTGAAGGCCAACTAAAGACATTCCTATTTATTTAATCTAAAAACAAGTACCATAACCACGTTATGGGAGTCGTACCCGTAGTTGTGATGGTTTAATTACGTGCCTAAAGCAAACTACGGGATTCATTTTAAAAAAAAGGTAATCACAATAATAAATTAAGTGACGCCTAAAGCAATCAATTTGACAGAAGGTTTGGTTTCATTTTTCATTTAATTATGCCAAACAGCTAGACCTAAATGAATAACGGAAAGAGGAGTATTAAGTTTGATGTTCTAAATAGCACTTATAATTCTTTTATCATGTGGTTAGCATTAAAAATTGTTCATCTAATATACAAGTATTAGAACTAATGAACACAACATTCTGCCAATACTTTCAAGGAAAATATCTGGAGCTCAAACTAACATGAAATCGTTAATTCATCCAAATAAACCATATGATTACACAAATAGACAATAAAGATCAAACGGAGAAAATGAGAAGCGGACCTCGAAGGACTTTTACCAAAATAGAAATCTGGATCCAATTTTTGAGCGTTTAATAGAAAACGCGACAGAACGGACCTTGACGAACTCGAGCGGAATCACGACCCAAGGAACGGAAGACCATTGACTGAGTTGCCGACTTAAGGCGACAATTGACAACTTCAAACAAGAATATAAATGACGACTTGAACAGACTTCGATCGAACACGATGATAAAATCACTCGATGGATTTGGAGATGGTCTTTTCCGGCGAGTAGAGTATCTGGCGGCGCTGGTTTTGTCTTGGTGTTAAAAGAGATGAGAGGGGATCTCGTTTTTTTTTCTCATTCTGCCGCTGGCCTGGTCTTAGTCTAGGGTGTATTTTGTGTATTCTTCTTAGAGATTAAGATGGAATTCAAGTGGGGCTTGATTTTTGTGTACTGCCGCTGATTGTCTTCAGCTCTTTCGTTCGTTCTCCGTGCGCAGCTTTTGCTGCTTTTCCTTCCGCTCTCCTCTAGTTTTTAGGCTTTGTTTAATATATATAGGTCTAGGTTAATGGTAGGTTTTAGGTTAAGGGGTATGGGCCTAGGAATTATGGGGTTAGCAATTGTGGGCTAGGTCCAAAATTAGGTCTAAAAATGGGTTGTCCGAGCCCAAGCTCTATTCTTTTGCCGCGAATGAGATTAAAAATACGCGTCCATTTATTAATTAGTCCTACTATTAAAATAATTATTAAAACAAAACTAACCATTAACTTTGAAGTCCCTTGAAAGCAAGGAAGATGGCCTACAAAACAAAATTGCAAACTCAAAACCCTGCCATAACAAAGATAGAAGAAATAACAGAGGAAACAAAGGCTATACCACCATTGCATTGTGCATGGCATTATTCAACATACACTCTCCCGGGAGAGTTTGTATCTTATTAATATCTTTTTCTAAAGCTAAAGGCTTCAGATAATTAGCAAGTTCCACCGGCCAGGATAACAAATGGCATCCGGTAGAGACCGAAAGGGTGATGCTTTCCTTCTTTTGGGGATCTTCGAAGGGGAAAACATAATTTTGTCCCACACTCCCATGTACTGGGGACTGGGGAAGAGGGACACCCTCCTCTCGGGCAACTATGTTCGGTGGAGATGATGTAACAATTGCTAATGGCGAAGGCAGAGCAGGAAAAGAAGGAGATGAAGCTGATGGCATTGTAGGCTGAAAAGTAGCTACGACAAATGTAGTGCTGGTAGTTTGTTGCTCCTCAACTGAACACGGAAAGGACTCATACTCAACCTCACGATACCGGGCATGGTGACTGAGACTCGAATTTAGGAGTTGGCATCTTCCACTACATTATACTCCCCTGGAGTGCCGAGGCATCATCCTCGGATGGCATAACTAGCTCAACAGATTGAGCATTCTGTTAAGCTGATGAATGTCGTCGTCTATGTAGAGAAGCCCCCTCATCGCTGGCTCATCTATTGTCATCAATCACTATAGTGTCTATGGCCGACTCGATTGCAACACTATCACCGCAACATCCGAAGATGGCTCGGGCGTGACTTTCTTTGCCTTTTTATTCTTCCCTTGGTCGCGGAGGAACGTCTCCTTTTCTATTGCTTGTTCTCTGGCCAGGGACTCCGAAAAGAACCACTTGCACTAGAAGTAGGCCCGGAGACACATTTTCGGGTAAACGCCTCTTGCAGCAGCCTCGTTGCATCAGCAGGATTAGCCAAAATGTCCTCCTCGGGGATGGCAACTGAGCCCTGGAGTGGACCTCAATTAAACAAGAAAAGAAGGTTAATAAGCTTTCTTATACGAAAGGATAAAACAAGATGAGTTCAACCTACCATAATTTTGGCCTTCCACCCATATTACAGGGCTAGTTCTTTTCACGTACGGGTCTCGGGCGTAGTGACATCCGAAATCTTTTGGACCCACTGGTTCAAGCCTTTGACCCTCGGTGGAGTCCGCCGAGTTGCTGAAATAAGTGAAAGAAGAGGAATCAGTAACAATATGGGGTGATCTTTAACTAGAAGAAGAGACAAATGATGAACTTACGTGTACGGTTCCACAATTCCGTAAAGGATGGAGCCGTCTTCGGGATGATGTACGTGGTGGCAACTGCAATGAACTGTTCCATCCACCCACGGTCGTTGTAATCATCTATGTTGGTTAGTAGAGCATGGTGGCCCTGTTTGCTGAAATTTATCATTCCCTCGCGAAAAATCTTGGGGGAATAAAGGTTTGTTAATCGATCTAGGGTTAGCTCCTCTCCCGTCTCCTGGCATAGACGTCGAAGACAAGCAGCAATCCTGCACACTTAAGGACTTACTTATGGAAGGCATACCTAGTAACGGATTTAGAACTCCACGATAATGGAGTCAAGCTCTCCGCTCAAAGAAATCGACCCCAAAGTAAAGGGATTCATATAAAAATACATGAAACCCTTCTTAGGTAAGTTATCCGCTCCGCCAGGTCAGGAGCGATGATGTTTAAGTCTTGGCAATGACAGTATTCCTTCATAACAGGAATTCTGCAAAGACAGATAGACGAAGGGTTCATGCCAACACCCCATGTGCGGGGATTAGCGGAAGGATACTTCTCTTCGAAGTCCTTAGTTGTGACAAGGTTCTTCTTTTCTCTGAAAAAGAAGGTTAGAGAAAGTTGAACACAAATACGAGTTGAGTAAAGAGGGTTTGAGAAAGTTTGGATTATTATGACGTGATATGTATAAGTAAAGGAATAGGCGGCTAAAATTGCAACCATAATTACCTCGATAACCGCCAAAAGTGGTGTTGAATCGTGGGATGACGCGTGTTCGGGGCATTATATGCGAAGAGATGTGTGTCTAATCAACAGTCAGAAACTTTTAGAAGGGGTCAGAGAATTTTTTGCCGTAAAAGGTATCTCTATCAACTTTTCGGTGACACAAAGTTATGCCACTGGAAAGCAGGGGGACTATCCGTATAGGGTAAAATGTGTTCATAGTTAATGATCGCATGAGAAAGTGACACGTCAAGCCGAAGACATAAGATAGTTGGGTCCGAAGGCAACTATCTTGTTTGATACCAGAGAATGACATTCATAAAAGCGAAAAAAATGCCTGCCACCCGGTAGCATTCAATGAAGAATATTCTATAGTATTAAGTGTGTAGACATGTGATTATTGACCCTCCCCAAGATCTTTTATATATTAGGGTAAAATATTTAATTTAGGCATAATATAGATATTTCAAGTAATTTTGACTCTTTTACTTTATTTTAGTACAAGAAAACAAAAACTACAAAAAATAAGTTCATTAATATTTTGTAGTCATTTTTAATCTAAAAAATATATACTTCTCCCGGGTTAACAGAATGCCTTACCCGAATTTCTGTGTTCGCAGACTATAAAACAGAGTCAATCGTTCCTCGATTCGGGATTTGAACCGGTGACTTGGGACACCATAAATTATCCCAAGTGGCGACTCTGATTTTAAATCTTTAATCCCGTTTCGATTGTCACTTAAATTGGAAAAAACTCCCTTATACCCCTTCTGGGGTAGAAAAAAGGAGGTGTGACAGCTCTGGCGACTTTGAGGGGGAAAAGAACCCAGAACTTCTGGTTCAGGGTTCAGAATTTGAGCTTAGAATAATTATTATATTTGGCTTTTATTTATTATCTGATTTTTACGTATTTGAGCCTAATGTGCTAAATGTCACTTTTTATCGCTTTAATATTGTTTGAATTGTATATAAATTGTTACGAAACTCTCCTCTCTCTGAGTCTTCTAAATCTTCTGGGAAGTGTGCATTTTCTGTGACTTCTCTTCTGTTAGAGTCATATCCCAACTTTAGAACGAGGTTCGGACAAGTTGCAAAGCCGGTGAAGGTTCTGTATTCCCGGTACGCTAACCCCCTCGGCTCGAGTTGTCCGCTCGGGTAAGCCAGGTCTAGAACAAATAAAGCCAGATTTTTAAAGCTAGAATAACATAGCCTCATGCCGACTCCCTAGTAGGCACTACTGGAAAATAGGCCTATGGCAACAGTAGGTAAACCGTTGCAATTGATAGGTCAACTGTTGCCATAGATATATTGGAACGGTTCTGTGACCGTGACATCCGCTCGCGTGCCAATAGATCTACAGCAATAGTTTTGGCAACGGTTGACCACACTGTTGCTATAGATCCAGCTATCGCAACGGTTTTCCTTCTGTCTGAAGCAACGAATATTCATTTCAACTGCAACGGTTGAAAACCGTTACCATATAGTTTATGCAACGGGTGAAAACCGTTACCATATAGTTTATGCAATGGTTGGAAACTGTTACAATATAGTTTATTGCAACAGTTATGTATGCTACTACAACGTTTATTTACAGCTATTGTAATGGTTTCATTACGCTATCGTAACGGTTTTGTTTCTATTGCATCGGTTTCAATTGCCAATTGCATCAGTTTGTCACACTTTTTGGAACGGTTTGCAAGACCTATCCGAACAATTTAGAATGTCTATGGCAACAGCATTTGTGCTTATTGCAACGGTTTTATTAGGCTATTTTAAACGTTTTATTGACATTACTACCTGGAAATATTTGTAATTATAACCTGGAAATTATATAATAAAAAGATAAAACACTTCATAATCTTTCATATCCAATAATCCAAGAATAATGATAATAACAAAATGTTTTAACTCAATTACATAAGTTTTACAGTTCAACACTTCAAAAGTTAAAGTTTCAAATGTTATAACAAAAGACTCCAAGAATATCGAAAACAACTCAAAGTTCTTATGTAAGGTCTAGATCTTCACTATCTCCATCTTCCCTTTCTTCAGTTGCTCCACCTTCTCCATCTTCCCTTTCTTCGGTTGCTCCACCTACAAAAGGGAATAAATAAAGTCATTAAATAAGAATGGGTATAGTAGAATTTTCTCTAATTGTAACTTTGTAAGTAGAGAATGGGGTAGTTGCATATTCCCTTTCATTCTTCTAATTGTAACTTTGTAAGTTGAGAAAATTCCAACATTTTAGCACTTAAAACAGGCAGTTTTGAAGTATACACAACATGTCATATATCTTAAAGAATATAATTTGTTGTAATATAAAGTAGCCAAGAGATTATGTTTCCAACTCTTTTTAGGATCACCTCTGCTTCGATATTGTCACACTGTACCGTAAAAAAAGCCCATGCACACGCCTATGTTTCTCCCACAAAACAGTCCTGATAAGCCTTTCAGGTAAAGCAACAGAGTTTGGCATGCATGTAAAAAGAGAGATCAATTGCAAAATCAATTAAACTGAACACTGATCATCTTTCTACTGCATATATAGAAGTTGAGCATTCAAATACTATATTGAGTTTCTGAAATATTAGCATCTTGTTGGGATGACAAGAACAATGGTAGACGTGGAATCGGAAGCTTTTTAACATATCCATGTGAACATGACATAACTCTATTCTAAATAACATAATTCTAAATTTGATGTTAGTGATGCCAACCAAGTACGACGAGGACAGATAAGCACTGCAAGGCAAGTGTTCCAGTTGCAGCTCACAGTTAATGACCAAGGACAATTAATTTTACTCTCAAACATGAAGCCTAAATTGCAACTAATGAATTCTGTATCAAACAAATACTGAGATAGCACATACCAAAAACACAATTAATAATAATACCTTGAAAATGAAGACAAGGAGGGGAACTTTAAGCAGGAGACTTTTCTTTTATTTTTGATTGGAGCACCAATCAGAAGCATATAAAATTGCGCTCTACTTTCACGTGAGCACACCAATTTGCGCTCTATTGCTTATCAAAAATATTTCCAGCTCTACTACCAAAATATTTCCCGTCAAACAGTCACTATGCCTTATCAGAGAAAGCAGTGGCAGCAGAAAAGAAACAGAAGAAGGAGGAGGAGGAGGAAGAGAAGAAGAGTACGTACTGACCTCGATTATTACTCCCAGTAGATAGGCGATTGATTAGTTGCACAGTAACTTGTTGTGCAGAGGAAGCATCTCCAGGTGAACGAGCATTGAAAGCTGGTATGCTGGGATCAACCTGTAAATCTGGATTCAGATGCTTAAGTTGTTAAATGATGTTAACTGCAACTTGTAGTTCCATGGCATCTTTTTGTGCATTAAACTTTTCCTGCATTCTTTGTTGTATCCTTTCTTCCATTTCCACCATTTTTTATTGCAGCATCTCATCGGCAGAACTTAAAGAGGTTCCAATATCTCCCACTTTTCTTTTAAGGAAGTCTTGGTAACCCCACGTCCGTACAATCTTAGGCGTCCTGGATGCTCAGATCCCATGACGGACGCAAACGCGTCAACTAATTGACTGCCATCTTCAATTTCTTGTGTTGATTGTATTCTATCCATTTCAGCCTACAAGACCAAATTGAGTCAATTTTAGATTAGTAAGTATATAAAATTGAGTCAATAGCTAATAATAGACAAATGATATCAGCAAACTTTAAATTAGTAACTTGTACAATTTTATTAAGAGTATCCGCATACGAGGCCTTGTATACTCGATCGGGCTTTCTTTTTCTTGTAGCCACAAATATGTCCTTACTTGATAGAGGTTCAGAAGTTTCTTTCTTTTTTTCCTGATTACATAAAAAGTGGTATAAAATAGTTCAGATTATGGCTAGCAAGTTCATATTTAAAAGAATAATAAGAAAAAAAATACAAACCTCGCATATTCTAGCAAAAAAATTTTTGCCAGCAGTGTGTGGATATCTCTACTTTTTGCGATTTCTCAGTGTTGGTTTCTTTCATTTTCTGCAAAGTCAAGTGTAAACGAACATTTCGTTCTCTAGTCATAAATGAATAAGCATGAATAAGCACAACCTAATGGAATGAATAGTTTGCAAAAATCTTTTCTCGATCAAATGACATCTTATCTTTTCTCGATGGATGATCAAGAGGCAAAAATCTTCGATGACCCAAGTAACACATGTTATGACTATGTTTGAGATATCGTGAGCATGTGTCGTAATTACAAGTGGGGCATGCCAGTCTACCCTTGGTGCTCCAGCCTGAAAGCATTGCTAATGCTAGAAAATCACTAACTATCCACAATAAGGCTGCACGCATTTTGAATGTTTGCCTTGTCTCAGCATCATATGTTTTTATCCCAGTTTCCCATAGTTCCTTCAATTCTTCAATTCTTCAATTAATGGTTGTAGATACACATCTATATCATTTCCTAGAGATGAAGGACCTGGAATGATCATTGACAACATGATATATTCTGGCTTCATGCAAATCCATGGTGATAAATTATAGTTCATTAACATGACAGGCCACGTGCTATGAGAAATGCCCATGGTTCGAAATGGGTTGAAACTATCACTTGAAAGACCCAACCTAACATTACGTGGATCTCTGGAGAAGTCTGGGCGTAGAGAATCAAAATCCTTCCAAGCTTCTCCATCAGCAGGATGCCTCATATTCCCATCATTGGGTCGTTCATTAGCATGCCATCTCATTGCAATGGTTGTTTCAGGACACAAGAATATCCTCTGAAGCCTAGGCTTTAGGGAAAAGTACCTTAAAACCTTTACTGGAATTTTAGCGCTTGTATTAGTCAAGGAAGCATCAACAACTTTCCATCAAGAAGCCCCACAAACAAAGCAATTATCAGCCTTTGCATTGTCTTTCCAAAATAACATGCAATCATTAGGGCATGCATGTATTTTTTTCATAATGAAGACCCAAATCTTTTATCATGTTTCTAGCCTTGTTGAAAGATTCTGGCAACTGAGCAAAGGGAAATGCCTCTTTTAACAACTCTAGCATATCTGAAAAGGCCACATTTCTCAATCCATGCAAGGATTTAAACACGTACAACCGAATAGTAAAACTCAATTTAGTGAAGGTTTCACACCCAGGATATAATTCTTGTTTGCCTTCCTCTAATAATCTGAAAAATCTCTTAGCATCTTCAGATAGAGTTTCTCTCATCTGTTCTTCCTGCTTTGCCTCACCTTCTACATTTCTAAAGGTAACATGAAGTAATCCATCAATATCATCACGCATGTTAGAACCTTCATCATCATTGCTTTGGTGAGGTGCATTTCTAGAGGAAAACCCTTTCCCATGAAAAACCTATTTGGTGTAACCATCAACAAAACCATTAACAACCAAGTGATCCTCCACCACATTTCTATAGTGCCAATAGCGATTAATACACTTTTTGCAAGGGCATAATATTTCATTTCCCTAGGAAGCTCGTTCAAATGCCTTATCAAAAAAATTGTTCACTCCACGGATATACTCATCCGTCCATCTTAGGAGATACATCCAACTTTTATCTCCATTATCCATTGAAATCCTATACGATAAAATTAAATCAACAAAATTAACCAAATAAACCTACATATAATAAGACATTGACCAATGCTTTTAAAGGTGAAAACTCAGAAGGAGGAGCAACTGAAGAGAAGTGGAATATTTATTTTTAATTTTAACATAGATAATCAATTTTAACATAGTGCATTTGTATATTTTTATGAGTTTTCTACATGCTAACATAATAAATATCTAGCTAGTTGGGTAACTCTAAGAAATAGGTTGACTTTTTTGTATTCTTGCAACAAAAAAGTTACAGGACAATATTAAATAACAATGCTTGTCTATTCTATCATTTGTAGTACTTTAATTTAGAACCGTACTCAACCCATGCATTCAGTTCTAAAAAAAAATTAGACTTCAGCAACATCTTGTAACTTAACTCAAGGCATCATTAGTTAAACCGCAAGATAGCAATAAAAACTAATTCGGAGTAACATACATAACAAGATAAATAAGCGAAATACACAAATACACCACCAGCAAATTCAATTACCAAAAATTTAAATTAAGAAAACTTACCAGCAACGGGTGTTCCCTAAATTACCAGCAATGATTTCTCCTCAACTACCAGAAATAAATTTTCTCTCAGCTAATAATATCTATACCACCAAAGAAGGTTTCTATAGATCAACAAGGAGGAGCATGCAAAAAAACAAAAAAATGACATCAGAGAGGGATTACTTGGAGAGCATTCGAGCAAAGAGAACAAGAAATAATTTTGCCTTAGATACAAAAACAAACTAATTATACTCAAAGTTTATGCTGATAAAGATGTTGACATAGTCATGTCAACAATTTATGGAACTTATGTACTATTGGAAGCTATCAGAATCCAAGTAATAGCAGAAGGGAGTGTTATAAAAATCAAGATAATGCTTTTAATCTATAGATGAGTGTTCTACCAATGGCCAAAAGTTACTTTCCACTTTGTGTAAGAGAGGGTTCTATGTTAATCATATTTGCTAGTAGTTGACCATTATATTACCATTTCTTCATTAAACCAATCATTAAAGGAACATACAAGCTAGATTAAAACTATTGGTTAGCATTTCCTTATGATGTTTGTAATCACCAAAGGAGACAAGAGGGGTTGCTCTGATGGTAAGCTACCTCCACTTCCAACCAAGAGGTTGTGAGTTCGAGTCTCCCCAAGAGCAAGGTGGGAAGTTCT